CACAAATCGACGAAGAAGGCTTACCTCAAGAAGAAAGGACTTCCAGTCACAGATCGACAAAAAAGGAGATTCCTTTCGCTGTGAAGGTAAGTGTAATCCCTTTACCTGTATAGATATATGTATATATACACATAGATTTGTATATATATGCATATATCTACATAGATTTGTACATGACTGCCCTTTTTTTTTGTTTTATCTGTATATATATGCATAGAGCTTCCTTTTTTTTGTTTCATCTGTAATTTTTTCATCAAATATACATCGATTTGTATATTTGAGGATGGTTGCCCTTTAGTTTTGTTCAGGTAGGAGTGACTCTGCAAAATATTTCCCTCTCAATTTGTATGTAGTTTTGCTTCAATTTTTTTTTTGTGAAAATTAAATCTTTCTCCATTTCGAGGAATAGTAAATAAAATCTCGTGTTATATATTCAAAAAATTGATGAAATAAAATCTCGTGTCATATATTCAAATGTTCAATATATTCAAAAAATTGATGAAATTCCATTTATTGCTTAGTAGCTAAGACCTCAATTATCATATTAACTTAATACAACACATGTTAAGTTTCTTGAACAACAAATTCATACTCGAAAACCTTTAAATTACAGGGGGTGGGGGAGTTGCAGGGGGTGGGTTTTGGTGAGGAATGACTTGCAAGGGGTGGGTTTGGTGTGGAATGAACTGTAGGGGTTGGTTTTTGTGAGGAAAGAATTGCAGGGGGTGGATACATGTTGCTTGCCTTTATTGTTTACTTGGATTTGATGTTAACTTGGATTTGCTTACTTGTACACCTTGATCCATGTTGCATTTGTGAAATAGTAGTATGGTTATGCGTTGAGAAATTGTTAGTATAATTGAGAAATTGTTGTAGATGAAAACGGGAAACGAAGAAAATCATGATGATGAGGTTGTAGACGTTGACCACGACAAAAATGTAGCCATATGGATGTCCAATAAGGAGGCAATTTTCTTTGACTTGATGGATAGGGAAGTAGTAGCGGGACATAGACCAAATACTACTTTTGACAAAGTTGGGTGAAAAAATTTCGTAAGAAACATGCAATTATGCACGGGACACAACTACATATGTGAACAACTACGGAGGAAGTTTAATAATTTGAAACCTGTTTACCATGCTTTCAAGAAACTGTTAAATCAAATTGAAGTTGGTTGGGACCCCGTGAGGAAAACAATTGTCTTGGAGGATGAGGTTTGGAAGGATTTGTGCAAGGTAGGTTTTAGTATTGATTACTATTCATTTTTTTTAACCATAATGTCAAATGATTTTAGGTTAATAAGTATTGCTTATATTTCATTATTTTTCATTTAATATAGGTTAATAAGCATGCTAGACAATTCAGGAAAAAATGGTGTCCACATTACGAGAAGCTATGTAGGATTTATGAAAAGACATCTGCAACTGGTGATAATTCTGATCCATCCATCCGACAACGAGGAAGATAAAGACTCTACCTTTGATTCGTCACTTGAGGTTGATGATGGTGAGGAGAATGTGGAGAAAGTGGAGAAGGGGACAAATAACCATCCTCGAAATAGGTCTACCATTCCAACAACCAGTCGTCATAGGAAGAAGGATAACTATAGCCTAGCACTTACATTTGTCATTAATGTGTTGGTTGAGAATTCAAAGAAGAAGTCAGAGTATATTGATTATAAGATATCTAGTGCGTCTATGGCGACGACTTCATGTAGTGATAGTGAGGCTGTTATGCATAATAATGATCTGTTAGAAAAATGATTGGTTGCTTTGAATTCGCTCGAGGACATTGATGTAGCTTCATACACAAAGATCATTAAGATTTTTGGAGATGGTATGAGCTATAGGAAGATGTTCTTGTCTATGCCAGATCATAGGAAGAAGGACTTTGTTACTCACCTGTGATGGTTGTACTTTAGCCTAACATTTTGGATGTGTACTTTGAGATTATGTGTATTTTGGTATGTGTACTTTTGGATTATGTGGACTTTGGGATTATGCGTGCTTTTGGATTATAGTTTAATTATTATGCGTATTTATAATGTTTTGTGAATAATGTCTGATATGTGCATTACATATGGATATTACAGGTATACTTGAATATTCAATAATGAATTTAGATGAAGAATTTGATATGATATTAGATAGTGATGATGAGATGTCTATTGTATTGACTACAATAGAATTAGATAGTTAAAAATACATCACAACGACCATGTAGAACGTCTGCTCTTACAGGTCATGATTACGTGTTAGAGCTATTACATGGACATGAAAGTAGGTGTTGTGAGCAATTTAGAATAGACACACCTATGTTCATGTTATTTTGTGAGGCATTAAAAGAAAAAGGGTTGAAACAGTTTAGGTTTGTAACCGTGCAAGAGCAAGTTACTATATTTTTACTCACAATATCACATAATGAGTAAAATCGCATAGTAGCTGAAATGTTTCAGCATTCAGGGGAGATCATTTCTAAATACTTTAATCGTGTTTTGAAAGTAGTTTGTAGGCTTGGAGTTGATATCATCAACCCTCCCAATTTTAGTATGGTTCAACCTCAGATTCCTTTCAACCCAATATATTACCCTTTCTTTAAGGTAGGTGACTGTAATTTGAAATATATATTGTAAGAAAATACTACTCTCAATGTCATTCATGTGTTTTTTTTTCTTTGAAGAATTGTGTTGGCGCCATTGATGGCACCCACGTTGATACACATGTTTCAGCGAATTCCCAGATACCATATTGTGGGAAATGTGTTGTACCAACTCAAAATGTAATGTGTGCATGTTCCTTTGACATGCGCTTTATATTTGTAATGAGTGGGTGGGAGAGTACTGCTCATGACTTCAGAATATTTGCTGAGTGTGTTGCTAATCTAGCTAACAAATTTCCAATGTTGCCAGAGGGTAAGTGTAATCATGGAATTTGTAATACTTATACATAAAATTAGACAATGAATCTTGCACTTATAAATTTGAGAGATAAATACTATATTGTGGATTCAGGCTACACAAATATGCCTGATTTTTTGTCCCTGTATCGTGGTGAGAGATATCACTTGCGTGACTATAGAGGTAGGGATCGACAACCAACCGATAAAGAAGAACTATTCAATCATCGTCACTCCTCACTTCGTAATGTAATAGAGCGTTGCTTTGCAGTTCTAAAGACTCTTTTTCCCATTATGAAGTTAATGCCTCTATATCCCTTAACTATACAGAAATACATTCCCACAACATATCGTATAGTGCATAACTTCATAAGAATGTATTCTTGTCAAGATCAGTTATTTAACGAGTGGGAAAGAAGAGAATTTGTTGATAATGAAAGAACTGTTGCAGGATCAAGTTCACAGGTCCTAATAGAATTAGACATAAGTCCGAGTTAGCTATGTCAAATGGCTCGTGTCAGAGATACAATTGCAGATCAATTGTGGGCATCAACTCACCATTGATATATGTCTTAATGTTATTATTTATTATGATGGTAAAAATGTGTTGGTACTTGCATTATTATATTGAATTTAATGTTTATATGACTAATTTTTACTTGTTAATGTTAATATAATTAGGTGTGTTATAATGACACATATTGACCCTCCATACTCGTGTGGATCTACGAGCATGAATATTTTGGTCGCAAGGACCAAACGAAACAATGAGCGAGCTTTTTATCGTTCACGATGGCGTGAGCATGATAATTGTTTCATATGGGTTGATGAGTACAACACAATTACAAATGAACATCATGAGTCAAGATGGAGAGAGAGAAGAAATAGATCACTATTTTCATGTTTGCTTGTTGTGGTTATAATTTAATCTTTATTTGTTCAATATTGTTTGTCGTATTTGTACTAATTATTGAAATTTTAGTTAAGTGATATGACTTATTAATGTATGTATTTGATTGTATGTTGAACAATATGATGTATGAATGTGAGTAGGGACTTATGTAATCTAATTATCTTTATTTAGGTGCTCTTAGATGAATTAGTGAATGTTTTGGTTTAAGAAATTTTGGGATTTGTACTTTGTTGTATGATATATATTATAAAACATATTTAGGATAAAACGTAAAATAGTTACCAAACATGTTTTTTGTTTTTTATTCTCATAATTTAATAGATAAAAATAATACCCAAACTTGTTTTCTGTTTCAGTGTTTATCACAAAATAGAGAAAAAATTGTCTCTATTTTTGATTGTTTTGAAAATGCAAAAATGAAAATGTTGCCAAATGACCCCTAAATTTATTAATGTGACGTTTTGTTTCAATTTTCTGGATGAGTTCAATAGGACCCAATCTTTTTATGCACCTTAATCTCGAATCCAAGCATGAGTCTCAAGCTGAATGTAAAATAAAATGGTTCAAAAAGTGTTCACTTCTTTTCTAACTTCCTGTGATCTTGATAACGTTTGGATAAATAATTGCATGTTTTCTCTTGTGTTTGTATATAAAAAAGAGTGTTTACTTCTTGTTGATTTGTCATTGTAATTTGATATCTTAATTGATAAACTGGATTTAATGAAAAAAAATTGATATTACAATACAACTCAATGCAGTTAATGGCCACACATAGTATATCTCATACAAAACCTAATTCACGAAACTAAAAATGACAACATAACATTCTAGACTAGGTCCGAAAACATATTTCTCTTAAAAACTTGAGAGCTAAGCATTCAAATCTGTCCATTGTTGCCTGTGTGAAGTATGCCATCACATGCAAAAGTTGCCTATAAGAAAGATATACAGTTTCATTAACATTGAGGCAAATTTATTGGAATGATATTTTTTATTACATAATTATTCGACGTGACAAGATCGCGAAAAATCATCAAAACAAAACGTCTCAACAAAGCAAACTTTGTAGAAGACTTGGAGGAGAATCGTTTCTCGTCCATTATTTGTGACTCTATTTCTTGAGGAAAACTTTGAACCATTCTGCCGAGAGTTTTGGATATCTCTTCTGCCCATTTTGGAAATCAACATAGTTTAATCCAAAACGGACAGTGTAACCGGAGCTCCATTCAAATTGTCCATTATTGCCCATGCAAAGTATGCCATCACATTAACACCATCCCTGAAAAAAAACGAGAGAGAATAGAAGGGCCAATTAGAGCCATTAATATAAACTTACAGGAGAAGGAATTCTCAAATTCAATAATATTTTCCTTGGCCTTAATTTATTGACAAATTTACTGACCAAACCCACTATTATGACTGAATTTATAGTAGACGCCATCTATTAGTATTGGAATCCACTATTAATCCAACAACAACAATGAATATTGCTGACAAATTTTATTAGTAAATTTGATAAAAACAACATTACTAGAACAAACTTGACTTAATGTGACATCATCTCAAATCAATTTCAAATATATAGCTTGTGATCAAGAACTTACTTGATAGCTTTTGAATATAAAACAGATGTCGATAATAGTATTGTATCCTGAAGTTATCGATGAGGGATTCCTTAAGCGATAATGTTGCATTGTTTACCTCATCAACCCCTATAAAAGAGACATGGATTTTAGTGTAAACATTGTATCTAATTTTCGAAGTCCTAATCAAATGAACTTTAAAACTTTAATATGAAATGTAGTTTTTGCTTAAATAATGTCTTAGCAAATGATTGTTTTGGTAGGAGTAGACTCGGCAGTCAACGAAAGGAGACCGAGGTTGTAGTAGGACCATCTCTTGCAAACAAAGAAACTCTTTGGAGGAATCTCTGTTTCAAAATTGTTTTAGAATTTTTTTTTTTTTTTTTACAATGAGGACTTTGTAGTAGAAGACTTGTCTATAAGAAAGGAGAGAGTGGTTATATGAGGATGATCCATAGTATATTAGTAAAAAAAATACCATTCTCCGTAATGTAGATAAGTGGATTATTATATTTTTTCTTTACATAGACGAGAAGATCCCATATCCCTCTTGGATAAACATGGAGCCATGTTGAACCAGCCTGAGACATAATAGAGTATATTAGGTTGATTAAGAATATGGTCATTTTAAGACAAATTCTCAAGAAATAAGCACAAGAAAGTTTTATATATGTTCAGAGTATACCTGTGGACCAATAGGACGTCCATTTCTCACAACTGCCATGAGAAAATACTGCCTTTAGCATAACGTTTGTTTTGATTTTGTACATCACACTGAATTTGAGGGTTTGATGTCAGACTTACATGTAATGATTGCATGATTATCTGTGCTGTAACTTAAGTTGACCGTATTTGGGTTGGGGTTATTGGCTGCATAATAAGCTGCATAGTAGTTCAAGCCAATAAAATCGAATGACCCTTTTAGCATTTCTGATTCTATTGTTGAAAACTTTGGCAAACGTTTTCCAACAATCGATTGCATGTCACGTGGATAGTTACCATTACCTACATTGCACATAGAATCAGAGTTACGAAAAAGAAGTTTATGGTTAGTGATTTTGTAACGTGGTCCTTTAATACGTCAAGGTGGACATATGTACGTGTCATGCATTTTCATGTACAGCAAGAAATCTAGCCTACTCTCGAGGAGAAAGGAGATAAGACCCGCTAGATGACTCTTGAAACTCGATTCAAGTTGTCTATAGGAGGTGGCAGCTCTGTAACGACTAAGACAAGCTCATTTTGTTCTATATCTATACAAGTTTTATTCAATGTGTGCATTTTTAAAATTCTACATAACAAAATGGTCCAACATGGCAAAGTTAAGCATAGTGTAAATGATGTGGCATATGAATGTTTTTTTTATTTTGTGTGATCCTTTAGTCAGTGAAGCAACAAACAATACTAACCATCCAAGATAAAAGTCCAAAGACCGCCTTGCAGCACGGTAATCATCTGTCGAATTGGAGAATGGCACGTACCAAAAAGTCGCTAGCGTAATTCCAATATTACCATTTTGCAATTTCTGCACAAATTCTATGCTTAGTAATGTCAAGGATAACATCATCCTTAATAGTTATACGTCATGATTTAGTTGTTGGATTATAAACCTGGTATTTATCCTTATACAATTTCACAGCTGCTGCGTGCGCAATAAGTTGGTGGTGTGCAACAGTATATGGTTCGGTGCTTGAGTTCCCACCGGTGCAATTTGGGCTTATCCAAGAGGAACATCGACCTGGTGCAAAATCACCACTATCGTACGCATTTATGCTGAAGGTCGATGGTTCATTGAATGTGGTTCAATGTTTCACCCAATCTCCAAATCTCTTGTAGCAAAGCTCCACGAAATCGCGATAATCATACCTGTGATTGGATCATTAGTAATTAAGGGCAAAATAAGATTTAGCTAATACTCTAACATACGATTTCGTTATATAATAACTTCTTGGTGGATGGAAGTAAATCCTCTTTTCCCCTGTTTAGAATAAATTACATATATAGTCATCAAACTATGAGTAAATTACATATATAGTAATCAAATTATGACCTTTGTGTCAATTAAGTTTTTAATTTTTTTTTTGTGTCAATTGAACCTCAGAACTCTCTAATTGTGTCAGTTGTACCTTTCTGTTTACCTCCGTTATTGTGTGTCACTTACATAACTATATAACACAAAAGAAAAAAAAGATGAATTGATATAGTTAGAGAGTTCAAGGGGCTTAATTAAGACACAAATTTTTTTTCTTAGGCTTAATTGACTCAAGGGTCATAATTTGAAGGCTATATATGCAATCTACTCCAACCATTTGTGTAGTTTATTCAATAGTGTAAATAGGAATTTTCAAGTTCCGGGCACTAGTTTAACTAACTAGATCCTCCAAATTTTGATCAATCTTGACTTCATACTACCCGTGTTTATCCTATTTTACTAACTTTTAATGAAGACTTGCAAACCTACACAAGTTTATCAATTGGATCTACTATGGTACACATTCTCTTAATTACTCTAAATAGCTCTTTATATATTTGATAAGGAATAGACTAAAGTATAATTAGGTTCACATAAATTTATTACTGGTGATTCACCATTGATGATAAATTGAGAGAACACATAGACATTTGGATCCCATTTTTAACATATCCAAAAACAAAATAAGTGTTTATGTTACTCACCCTCCTTTTGATCTATTTTGTGTTTTTTTTTTAAATTATTAAACATTTTCTTGTTTAAAAAATTATTGTCATGCTGATATGTTCTGTTGTATGATCTTAAATTTGACTGCATTGGGTTTATAAAGAATCAATTAAGTAGTTAACCACTCCATAGATAGGAGCCTCAAATATGAGGACTATATGAAAGTCACTTACACAATCTTCGGACTTAGGAAACCACCACACTCATCTTCTAGGGCTTGGGGGACATCAAAATGGTAAAGAGTCACAAAGGGCTTTAGACCTGCACATATACCATAACATACACAAATTTAGACCACACTTCACTCGCAAACCAATGCCAAGAGTTAAGTATCGAACAATAACCTTTGAATAGGGTCTCATTTATAAGGTTGTTGTAATACTCAATTCCTTCCTCATTCACACCTCCGCTTAACTTTCCACCTATCAAACGTACAAGTAAAAGGAAAAGGGTAATGTGTGATGTACTAGTCAAAGGACCATAATGTACAAATGCTTGTCAATTTCACTTAAATTCTTTACTGGGTTCCACCATACTATGAAACTTTATTTCACTAATCGGGTTACCACTTCTACAAAACTGGAATGCATGTCGATGTAGTTGACACTCTTACTTGGTAAGACTCTCGACCATGCAATAGAAAATCTGTATCCATCCATATTCATATTTTTTACCATGTCCACATCTTCCTGCGACGCTATAAAGAACCATACCATAAGAAATAATTTGTAAAACATGATAGATACAATCTCATAAAAATATTCAGATTCAAATAATTCTGAGGATAAGCTGGATATCCGTTCTGCCTTGTATTTATGATAGGAATCACAGGCCACATCTCCATTGCTACGATTGGCTATCTTCTCTGTATTTTCACCATAGACATGTTTCAAAAGTTTGCCACATAAAGGATTCACAAATACCACAGATATTGACTTAGTTATTATTAGAAGGAGAATTTATTTATTTTCAACACTCAAAACATTATTTGCAAGAGAAACGTTACACACTGTTCAAGATATAATTATGCTATGATTGGAAGGTTTTGCTCCCTTTGTATATTAATCTCGAAATCTTGTAATTTTCAATAGAGACTTCAAAAATGAATAGGAATGGTTTGATGAATAGTCACAAGGGAGAGAGAGAGACCAGGATATTTGTGTGTGAAATTATCCCATATACTTGGCCCTTTACCATCTTCATTCCATCCACCTTCAACCTGAAAAGGAAGAAACCAATAAAACAAGTAAACAACAGCATCAAATTGGGGTACAGTACTGTATGATTCAACATCATTAGGCAAACCTGATAAGCAGCTGAAGCTGCCCCAAAGACAAAGCCCTCCGGAAAACTGGAACGATTAAGCGTAGCAATGCCATAAGTAGGTGTTAAAGGTGCAGTACTAGTGTCTACAGAAACCCTAGCATAAGTCCTAGCAGGATGAGCCTCACTACTACTACTCAGTGAGTAAGTGAGGAGCATAAAGCCAAAGAAGAGAAAATGGCCTTGAATCCCCATTACTACTTCACTGATTTTTGAGATACACACTCAGAGCTCTCTTTCATGGCTTTATGTAGAGTGCATGTCAAGATTTATGAGAATACAATATGTGAACGTGATAGTGGAGGAGGTGAACGTGCAACGTAGCTGTGTGTGTGTCGAAGCTGCCAAAATTTCGTTAGCTGCTTACTGATGAATTTTATACTAGATAAGAATTCAATGCATCTTAGTGTCTACAATGTAATATATCATAAGAATGATAACAACAAAAGAAATAGAGAAATGCAGAATACGAGAATATGTGTGTCGATTGATTGTGAAGGACTGTATGAACGACCTAAAATGTGTCTGCAATGTATATACGTCACATGACACCATGTGTATAAAAAAGATATTTAATATGACTATAGAATACAAAACATTTGATATCCTTATTTTACATTTAATTTTTTTCGGAAGGTAAATTGTATTAAAGTAAATTAGATTTACACGGGTAATAACCCAAAAAATGTACAATAAAATCGCACAGAGCTCAAAGACAAAACATCAAAAACACAAAAAACTAAGACTCAAAACAAAAGTCTGTGAGAGATGCCCCCAGTAAGAAAGAGCATCTCCCACAGAGGCAGTCCACTGGGAGGTTCCTGCTATGCAATAAACCAACGTTCAAAGGGCTTCCCTTGAATTTAAGAGAAACCAATCTCTCCTAATTAATGGTTTGCTTGATAATGGTAGCTGTTGTGGTTGAAATTTTGGATTGATTCCTAAAATCCTATTGTTTCTTTCCATCCATAGATAGTAAACAGTAACAGTCAGAGTGATCCTAAGAGTGCAAGCTTTCATAATACATTTAGTTGGTAGAAGATAAAGATCAACTATTTCGTATATGTCATACAACACGTGCATCATTTAATATGGTTCATAATCAAGTATATATGAAAATCTCGAGAAGTATTATAGATTATTCAATTAATTATTTTGGTGTCTCCTTGATAATCTTCAATTTATCTGTAACTTAATTTAAAAATTAAGGTATTATGCGGACAGGGTGTTAACTGACCACTATTAATTTTATGGATTTTTTAGAATTTGTCTATTTATTTTATCAATTTCTTTTGGGGGTGGCCTCTGACCAGGGAGGGAGGGGGTGGGGGGGGGGGGGGGGGGGGGGATATTGAATGTCTTGCTGCTGAAGATTTAGGCCTTCAATAATAAAAAAAAATTTCATTATTGTAGAATATTAGTTTTAAGTTAGGAGTTGTGACCCAAAAAACCAACAAAAAAAAAAACGAAAAGAGAGAGAGAGAGAGAGAGAGAAATGAGACTAAGGTATAATTAGTAACAAAAGGTAAAATTTCGTCATTATATCAAGTATAGCTTCCTAAGAAGTTTCAACGATATTCTAGTTATAGAATATAGCATTTGCGTTTCCAATCAGAACATGATGTGCTGTGTGTGACCGTGTGCCAACATACTTGTATTAATGCACTGAATGCTTCGTTCAATGATAAATAAGAGATGCTATTTAAACATAAAAATATGACCTAGTTTATTGGCCTAACGATATAATTTTATTATAATCATTTTATTAACACCTAATTTTAATATTTGATGAGATTCATAGTTAATCTAATAGTCATAGTAAATTAGATTAATATTATTCGATAAATAATAGTACATGAAAATCTCGAGAACATAGAGATCTTGCAATTAATAGTAGTGCAATAATTTCTCATCGATAATGGCAACGTGGCGGTGGCTGTTGATAGCTTAAGTTTAAAAAATAGATGATTGTTTAATATAATATTAGAGTAGGAGTTCTTGTGTTCGAATTTTGCATTCACCTTAATGATTAAAATATTTTCACATTCTAAACCTAAAAAAATAGTCTGGACGTGATGGGCTGTATTGAAGTATATATATTTAAGTTACACTCTCTCTAACATTTTAAAATTTTAAAGTAGATGATTGTTTAACAATAACAAACTTTGGTGGAGGGTGGTGTTGCATATGTGTGTGTGTGTGCACTCACATGTAGGGTTGTTGGTTGAATTGAGTTCGTGTCAAGCTTAAAAAATTTGTTTTTTAATTGAACTTGAAAAATTGTTCAAGTTCAGCTCATTTAAAAAATGAACCAAACTCAAATCAAATACTAGTCAAACTCGAGTACCTCAGTTCGGTTAAGAGCCTTACTCACATGTTTGAGGATATATATTAGTAATTGTGCCAAATAATTTTTTTTTGTTGACCATTCAAACACATTTTTATGAAATATTTTTATTTAAATGTCTTTTATTTTGAACATCTAAATAATACTTATTTAATAAATTTACTTTTATAAACACCTATTGGAGATGTACTTTTTGAATTTTATAAATTATTCAAAACGCTAGTGACCGCAAATAAAAATTGGTAAAAAATTTCGGCGTTAAGTCTTTTGCACTCCGCCAAGTAATTTTTGTTAGTAATGTACACAATCATGACTCAATAGATTTTAGTGGGTTTACAATCAAATCACGGTACTAAAACAAGTGGACTTGACTATACCACCGTTATAAAAAATTCGGTTTTTAAAATTTTTATGGGCTATTTTTTTAAAAGAATTTTATGAATATTTTTATCATTATTATAATAACTTATTTTATCACTTTTTTTCAGTACAAAAAAATTTATCATTTTTGTGGGTTTTTTTATCACTATTGTGGGTGCTTTTATTATTTTGTGATAATTATTTTTATCACTTTTTTTTAGTACAATAGTAATAAAAATACCCATAATAGTAATTTTTTTTTTTTGTAACAGTCAAACCCAAAACAAGGTCAACATGCTGAAATTACTCGAGGGAATCGAAGATAAGAAATATTTTTTAAAATTGCAGAATAATTTCAAGCACGTTTTCTGATCTGGATTGATCATAAGGTCTATGATAAGCATTTTTTGGTTGTGTTTTGATGAACATATTGTCCTATTATATTCAACTGCATAGATCTCGAAAAAACAAAGAATCTGGTGCACGTGTGATTAACATTGTTCGAGACAAAGAAACAAAGTAGCAAAGACTGAAATAATCCCATACTTTGTATGGTATCAATTTCGAAGTTCAAAAACTGCAACTTCGATCTGTTTATTAACTGTACATGTACATGTACAGTAGGAAATAATACAGTACAACACTATTATTTATCTGCATGTGGAATGGACATTGCTTTGATTAATATTGACAGAGAACACGTCATTGATTTCTTAGGGAAAATTATTATAATCACTTGCGTTTGATTTGATTAATATTTATCAAAATTTTCACCTGGTGCTAATAAAAGAGAAATTATATAATATTATTGGATGTGAGATGTCAAATACAGACGGATATTTTCTTTTACTTTTTTTTCCTAACACCCTCTTGTGGCATGTTTGGATGGTTTTAAACTCAATCTCTACCTTTGAGTATCCAATCAGAACATGATGTGCTGTGTGGGATAGTGTGCCAATTAGGGGTGTCAAATGTGTCGAATTTGCTCATTTCGTGTCGGGTGAATTTTGAGTCTGTGTCGAAAATCTCAAAGCTCAAACTTAGCATGTTTAATAATCGTGTCGAGATGTGTAAACACTAACCTGACCTGACCATTAAATGAGTTACCCGAACCCGACCTATTTGACACGTTTAATAAATACGTCATTTTCGGGTTAACACACATAACATGATTTGTTTAACTTGTTTAGCACATATAACACAGACCTATTTAACACACATAACTTGTTTCCACACTCATTCATTACCACTAAATACATTATTCAATCTTTCATCCAAAATTTCAAATAATTTTTTTTTACAAATAACATAACATATCACATCTCATCAATGAAATTAACTAAAATGCATTCAATTTTCAACCCAAAAATTAAAGCAAGAATTATACTAATATCCTGTCTTAATAATGTTAAAAACTATACTACCAATTAGCATAATATAAGTAAGAACTAATAAATAATAATATTAATACTACATCAGTCATACATAATAGATAAACTATACTGTTATAAACAAGTTAAATGGGTCTATAATGAGTTAGGTTGGGTTTGTGTCCGAATCATATCAACCCGTTTAAAATATACAGATTAATTAGGTCAAAATCGGGTTGACCTGATTTTGACATGAACCTGACATGATTTTTTTTTCATATTTAAGCGTGTTAATCCATTTTAACCCATTAACTTGTTTCATTTCATGTCCGACTTATTAATTTCATAATTGATTTGTGTCATGTTAACATGTATTGTGTCAAAAATTGACAGCCTTACTGCCAGCATACTAGTGTTAATGCACTGAATGCTTCCTTCAATGATAATCACCTATTTAAGATTTATTTTTTGAATTTTATAAATTATTCAGAACCAACTTTGACTAGTGATCGCAAATAAACAGACTTGCTAATTGGTAAAAAAATTCTACGTCTAAGTCTTTTGCACCCCGCCATGTAATTTTTGTTACTATCAATTTATGGTACTAACACAAGGGGCTTGATTATGGTACGGTCAAAAACAATATAGTAATATATCTCTAAAATTTATTACTTTAAAAGAAATTTGTATAATTTTTATGAATTATTTTATAAAAAAAAATATTACTGTTGTGGGTATTTTTATCACTATTATGAATATTTTTATCACTGTTGTGATTGTTATTTTTATTATTTTTCTTCGGTACAAAAAATTTATCACTTTTGTAGTTCTTTATATCACTATTGTGAGTACTTTTACTGTTATTGTGATAATTATTTTTATCACTTTTATTAGTGTGACAACAATAAAAATACTCACGACTTTAATAAAAACATCCACAAATACAGTAAATTTCAGCATGGTACCAAAATTTTTGTTTTTTGGTAGGGAAACAACTTGGGCGGGCCAGCCCGAATTCAACCTCAGCCCAACCCGATAAAAAACAGGGCTTAAGTTAGAATTTTTAATACTTAGATTGAGCCTGGGCAAAAAAATCCCAAACCGAATTAAATTCGGGC